TAAACAAACACAATAAAAATACTCAACAAAGTCAATGACAGCAACAGAAACACAAAATAACAAAACAACTTCAATAAATGCAACTGTCGAAATAAAGACCACTGTCCACTTGACAATAAATGTCCAACCAACAATATAATATATAAAGCCATCGGGATAAAACAACATGAACAAAAACGAAAAAATGTACATAGGAGACACAGAAACAACCTTCAAAGAAAGATTTAGCAATCACAACACATCATTTAAAATAGAAAGATAACAAACAACACAACACTATTAAAATACATATGGAGTCGAAAATAAAATAACATCACTACCAAAATTAAATGGAAAACAATAAAAAGAGCGCCTCTGCACGATAGCAATAGCAGAAACTGCAAACTATGCCTGAAGGAAAAATTAGCAATAATTACCTTTAAAAACCAAAGCAAACTATTAAGCAAGAAAAACTAAATAATGGACAAATGTAGACATTCAAATAACTACTTTCTGTGTTATTTAATAGCAATAAAAACAGAAAGAAATCAGCACGTCACAAAATACGACACAAACCTACAATATATACTTAATCACTTCCAAACAAAAAACAGACACACACGCACACATAAACACATTACCTAAGCATACACACACACAAAAGCTCAAACATCTAACCAGGACGTAAAATAATCAAGCCGACATATACACTGACACGGTAAAAAGAGAATACATTAAAAAGAGACCAATCCTACATAAAGCAATTAAGCGAGTCCGGTCAAAAATGGGTCAGCATAATACAAAGCAAACAATCACCAAGAAACTCTACACTACTTAAGAAACAACAAAAACACTAAAAATAACAACAGGTAAAAACCCAATAAGTGAAAAAAAATCACACACTCACAGAAAGATATTAAATTACACTAAACTATATATAAAAACGAAAAAGTTGAAAAATATCAGCAGAGAAGCCAATAGTCCCGAAGAGTGAAGGCATGTCTGAACCAACACCATTCAGTTAAGTGACAAGTTTCTCTACATTAATTCTATTAATGGTCTATCCTTATCTTTTGATATCGAGTGCTTTAAGGCAAACACCAGTAAAATACAGAAAAATAACCAGCAATTTGGGCACCTAAAACTCCTACAATTTAATATTATCTATCTATCTATCTATCTATCTCTCTATATATATACATATATATATAATTATTATTATTATTATTATATATATATATATATACTGAATAAATAGTTCCACCCCTGCTTATCTGTGTTTCTATTTAACACCCCTCCCTCATCAATTTTGAATAAACGGTACTCCCCAAGCCACTCCGTTGTTTGTTTTTTTCTTTTTTTTGTTGTTTGTTTTGTTTTGGTCACGTGGTTATGGTTTTTTGTTCATTGACTATGTATTCCGTTCTTTCTTTACCTTGTTAGCCAGCCTCCCCTGACGATCCGCTTAGGTGAAACCTTGGTAGGTGTGTCTGGCTCTCTAGGTTTAACTAGGTCCGCTCTCCTCATTGTATTGAGCACTTTATTTAGTTATTTTGGGTACTCGCATCGGGGTTTTTTTCTTTGGGCCTTGAATTCGTATGCTGGACGATTATTTTCGGCTAACGTACATGTTCTTGGTTCTTTCTTTTTTTTTATACCTTTTTTTCCCCTTTGGTATTAGCTTGTTTATTTGCAAATCAATACACCGAAAGGTTTTCCGAGCAGTATACTTTCTTATACTTATAAAATTTCTGTTAATAATATATATATATATATATATATATATATATATATATATATATATATATATTTTTCTGTGTGTGTTTGTGAGAGAAAGAAAGTACATACATACATATATGCATACATATATACAACGAGGTATCATTGAGTAGCGGTGGAATATAAACGCGATCTTTTATGTATCCATACAAGAAAGAAATCACACACGGTGAGGTCTAGGGATCTCTCAGGCCAAGCAGAAAGAGCAAGGTCTTGGTAAGTGCCTGAAGTGGCTTAGTCTGTAAGGTTTTCAAATATAGACGTCTTCTTAGCACACGCCAGGCAGTGGATTGACAGATCGAAGCTCACAGCTTCCGTGGACTTCCCTCAAACGCAACATGGATTCTCGCCACTTGATCCTCCGAAACTCGTGGTCGTCCTGGGCTTTTTCATTTACACAGACACCCACTCTCTTGGAACTGTTTAGGCCACCGTCGAATGGTCTTAGGAGAGGGCGGATTAATGGCGACTTGCTTTCGAAAAACACGCTGCACCATGACAACCGTATTTGCTTTCGCGAACTCGAGAACGCAGAACGCCTTTTGCTGAGGAATCGACCTTCCGAGGATAAACAAACAACTGAATGTTGCCGGAGATACGATGCGACTACATCGCCCCAGTAGCATCCATTCAAAACTCATCTTTCAAATGGTCACTGACTCATTCCATGACGATGCTTGAGAAATGAGCCAATGCGTCATGAAATCGGTTCATCCTTTTTTAATAACCCTGTATATTAGGTTGTCACACATGAAATGAGGCATTTTTTTTGTTGGTTGTCCATTCAGTCGTCTAATGAAATAACCTCCTTAGTATATAAACAATCTTGACTTATTCCTGACTTTTTTTCCAGATAATTTTTCTTTTATTATATTGTTACTCAGAAGTCCAATGAAAATGATTGCAGTGAAACAATGTCCAATAATCTTGCTGTATGAGTAAAAGAAAAATAAACATTTTTGCATCAAATCATTACATGCGATGCGAAATGGATACGCTTTAACAACAGTAAGAGAGTTAGGCCAGTGGTTAGATGCAAGTAAATCACCAAAAACAATATCCAAAACCTCCACTGCACCCTAAAAAGTTAATGTTTACTGTATGGTGGTCTTTCAAAGGGGTTATTCATTATTCATTCTTGCCTCAACGGAAAACAATAAAAAAAAACTGGTATTGTGGAGAAATTGAGTGTATGCACGAAAAATTGAAAAAGAAACATTCTAGCCTTGGGAATAGGGATGGCCCAATTTTGCTGTACGACAATGCACGGACGCACGCTTCTCAATCAACTCTCAAAAAGCTGCAGAGCCTGAATTATAAGAATTTTGCCTTATCTTACATATTCACCTGATATCTCTCCTACTGATTATCAATTATTTAAGCATTTTAAATTTTTCATACATTCTCCAATAAGGAAGAAGTAATCGAAGCATTTGAACTGTTTATCACATCAAAGGACAGAATTTTTTAAAAGATGGGATTGAGAATTTTAGATGTACATTGGAGAATAGTCATTCATCAAAATGGTTTCTATTTTAACTAAATAAATTAGTTATTTAACATTTTAGAACAGTTATATTCATTTCCTGTAAAGTGCGTCGTTTCGTGAGTGAGAACCTAATATATATATTAAGAAATGGACAAAGTCCGACAATTTATTTATTAAAGACATTTTTATGTTTAACGTTCTTTTTTATAGATACAAGTATTTAAGTAAATGCTCTGTTTATAATAAACAGTATTAAATATCATTTACCGGCCTGAATGTCCGAGAAATTTTCATAGAAAACATTCGTCCTTTGACAGGATTCGAACCTGCATCCTATACGGAACCGTCATTTACGCTGGCGCGCCTAACCTCTCGGCCACAAAGGGCGTTCGGTAGGCAAGGTCGAAGTTTATAAGCAGAAAATTCGACCTTGCCTACCGAACGCTCCTGTCGCCTCTAAGTGTTGACTTCGATGTTCACTTTTATATTTATATTTATATATATATATATATATATATATATATATATATATATATATATATATATATATATGTGTGTGTGTGTGTGTGTGTGTGTGTGTGTGTGTGCGCGCGCGTGTGTGTGTGTGTGTGTGTGTTTTGCAGAGGCAGTGAAACTCTCACGATCTGATGATTGCTTAAGGCGTAAAAAAATTAGTCGTTATGTTGTGCTGGTTCCAATGTCCACACTGTGTATAAACCTTCTATTTCTGTTGTTGAGCACGCTTTCCCGATAAATTTAGCAAGATTTAAGCGATATGTTTATACATGTTCGTGTGCGTGTGTAGTGTGTACACCGCAGCTTGAAAAAAAAAGCCGTCAGCTGACAATTTTACGAATAAACAACAGAATTAACGCGCCCTTTTCTCTGTTTCATTTCCGCATTTACGACCGTTTGAAGCTTCTTTTTTGTTTTGTTTTTAAGCAAAAATAAATGAATAAAGAAATCTGATTAAAAGTTCTTTCTTTTTTATATAAGCATGTTTAGCCTTCCGCGAATTTAGATGAGAATTCACGATTAATTTACCATAAAATCTCGTTTAGCTAAAATATTCTATCTCTACGGCATTAAAACAATTATTCCCTAATTTTTTAATAAAAAAATGATACCCTTTATTCAACAATTCATAAAATTGGAATTTAAAAATGCTTTGTCACTTCAAGGCATAGGAGATCATATTTCTCACCACAAATTCAAATATACTTATTTTTCACTAATTACTTTCCATTCTTGGGAAAGGTAGTGGAGTAGTTCGCACTGCCTTCTCTGCGATCTTATATTCAGAGCGGTCCCTCTCAAAGACTGGCTAGAATTCATGTGCTAGAGTGCATAGTCTAGAATTCTATTTAAACCATAGCTGGAGAAAGAGAGTGGCAGAATGTGCGGTTTCTAGGTGATGTTAGCCCGGAAGTGTCTGGAATTTAAACTCTGGTAGCCAATTTCCCGTCGATATCTGCTTCAGCGGCCACACCTGCCGTAGTGGCATCGAACCGAAACAAAAACCTATGTTCGAAAAATAGTTGATTGATCGGTTCATTTTCTACGGCTTATCAACCCTTTACAGGTTATTTAAAGACAAAGTATTTTTCGATTGCAAGAATGTTTTGTTTCTGTTTTTAGATACAATAACCGTTTTACTAATTAACCCATAGCTAGTGGGAGAAAAAATGAATTCCTACCTTTTCCCAAGAGTATTTGCGCTTATTGTGATTATTAAGAATCCAAAAGGATAGACGAAACACCGGTTCTCGTACGATCACCGAAGTTAAGCAACGCCGAACATAGTCAAAACCTAGATGGGTGACGATTTGGGAATATCAGGTGCTGTAATCTTGCATGTGCGGGTGGTGTAAAGGATAATGGCTCGGAATTGTTAATTGGGGAGCCGAGTTCCAATATCAGTTGGGTTCGTTAAATTCACTTATGCTCAAATAACCTTGGGAAAGGTATGAATCCACTACTTCTCCTCCGAGCTATGGGTTAATTAGTAAGACTTGTATCGTTAAGCCATTATTGTCGCTCCCATCAAAAAAAATCTTATAATCTGAAGAAATTGTTTTTCTGGCTTTGTATAACCTGCAAATAGTTGATAAGCCTTAGAAAATGAATTAATCAATAAAAAGGTATCGATACCTGTTACACTAGCCACACATCCGTAGTCGCGTCGTACCGAAATAAAAACTTTTTTTAAGCATTTCACTCCAAGCAAGACGGGAGTGCCACTAGCGCACAAGGTGTTACAGAGGGTAGAGAACAAGAGTAAAGAGGCATGTTTGGGGAGAAGATAAAGAGAAGGACGGGGAACAAGATCAAAGTATCAGAAGATGTCGATTGATATTACACTTGAATATTCGAAGATTATAGTTATCAGGGAAGCAAGTAATGTTGGTATTTTTGGATACCCTGGTGTACTAGCGAGCCAGCCAAAATGAGCTGACTCATTTTATAGTTCACCAATAGAAGGGTTAACCAATCAGAAGGCTCAAAATATTCAATGCGACGTGTATAAAGGCGGCCATGTTTTTCCCGAATATTCACTGCCAGCCTTTGATATCGAAGACTAAAGAATTACGGAACAGCTGCTGGTGGTATTGGCGATATAGTCAGATTCAGTAGAGTGCCTGACTTGTGAGTGCTGATCTTTAACCTTGTTTCATTGAACAGATTACGTACTGCGCTGTATTCTATATTCATAGACTATGGTGAACATGGTCAACAAGTAAGAGGAAAAGAATTCCACAGTCGGGAAGTGCGAGAGAAGAAGCTGTTTGAGGAGAAGAGACGGTTACACTTAACTGTTTCGACATTGAAAGGGTGGGACCGGATGCCAACCTGGTAGCTCGCTTAAATTCATGCATTCTGGATACCAGCGAAAGCAGCTCCTCGGAACAGTTGCCGTGAAAATACTTATAGAAAAGACAGAACAGGCCACAGCACATCTTTGAGAAAGCGACTGTACGGTCGAAAAATGTAAAACTGATTAAACTGAGATAATACACACGTTAAAAATGTCGTAAATCGCCGGGAAAATTCTAGACAGATGGTTTGATCCACCCACTTGAGTGTCTTGTAAGATGATTGATAGAGTGATTAATTGATCAATTGATTGATTTGTGTTTTCAAAGATTAGCACAAGCGCGTACGAAACGCTTGAGATTCTAGGAATTATCAATAAATCAGGAAAGAATAGCAACAGCATGTCCGTAAATATTGGCAATGCCGTAGATAGCGATAAATCCAAAGGGTGAACAGATTAATGAATATAGGTTTTTATGCTTGGGAACGCTACTGATGCTACAAAGACGCTTAGTTCCTTGTAACATTCCAGTAAGTATCTGACTCATCCTGCAATCAAATACCTTCACAAGAGCCACATCAAACCAAAAATGGAGTACCTCTGCCATATATGTAAAAGAGATGTCTAATCATCACGTACCGGTCTCGATATGATCCAAAAGCGTCTCCGCGTCCATGTGGGTGACGAATTATTTTCCACCCTACAACTTCTTTTCCCACAGACGAAAGGTGGCGAGCCTCTCTGCTTCTATCGTTATTTCCATGAAAAATGCTCAGACGAACTTACTTCCACCAGGTTCTAACCTTCACGGCTAAGACACACCATTGAAGCGAACCTCTCCCATCCCCTTCGTATTCCACTGGGGAGATGTAAGTTCCACTCGAGCAGCTTCTTCCCACGAGCCGCTGATTTGTGGAACTGGCGCCTAAAAGGATGCCTTTTCGAGTCTTACAATTTTAATCTGTTCAATTTTAAGTTCAAACATTATCTTCCCCACACATATACCCCCTGTACCGCTATCCTCGAGTTGTTCGTAGATATTGTACAAGATGAACACCATTGTACAAGATGAACACCATTGTAAAAAAAAATAAAATAAAAAATGTAGTAAAACTGATTAAACTGAGATAATAAACACGTTAAAAATGTCGTAAATCGCCTGGAAAATTCTAGACGGATGGTTGGATTCACTCACTTGACTCTCTTGTAAGAGGATTGATAGACTGATTAATTGCCCGATTAATTGATTAGCGTTTTCAGAGATTAGCAAACACGCATATGAAACGAGATTCTAGGAATTATCAATAAATCAAGAAAGAATAACAACATGTCCGTAAATATTGATACTGCCATAGATAGCGATAAGTACAGAGTGCGATCACATTAATGAATATAGGTTTTCGTGCTTGGGCACGCGCACACACGAAGCTTGAATGAAATCTGTTATGGTTCAATATTGGTGTAACAGATGGTTGCCTCTGTTGCCTCGGCAGATTACGCAACTCTCCATCAACTATCGGACCGTGCTTATCATTATATCATTGTTTCAAAAAAGATCCTGGAAAAAAATGGCGCCTGTACGCTCTAGTAAATACCTTACATCCTGCATTCCTCTACCTTTACAGATTAGACCAAAAATGGAGTAATATTGTCATATATGAACAAGAGATGTCTAGTCTTCACGTTCCGGTTTCGATAGGGTTCAAAATCGTCTCCGCATCCTTGTGGGTGATGAATTATTTTCCTCCCTTCAATTCTTTTCTCACAAACGAAACGTCGGGAACCACTCGCTGCTTTATAGCTAACTGGGACCCATGTATAGTACACAAGAGAAAATAATCCATATTCACTTAGTATTCCTATAGAAAGAAGCAAGTTACTTTCGGAAAACTTCTACCCAATAACAAAATACAACGAATCTGCAATTTTATCGGTCCTCAATAGGCATCTCGGATTCAGCCACTTTCCTATCGCCGTAACGTAGCTTCCTTATGCCTTTTCTATAAATATTTTCGTGTTACTTATTCTGAAGAACTTTTCTCTTTCGCACATATGATGATGGATAGGGGTTCTCTCAATGTGTCTTTTTGTCTTGAACGTCTATTTGGACACAGGTTATTCCAAGACATCGAGTGAAATTCATATATCCGAGCTATTGATACTGATGCTAAAAAGACGGTTAGTTCATTGTACCATTCCAGTAATTATCTGACTCATCCAGCAATCCTCTACGTTTACAAGAGCCAGATCAGACCAAAAATATATGTAAAGCTGTCTAATTTTCACGTTCCGCTCATGATAGCGTCCAAAATCGTCTCCGTATCTTTGTGGGTGACGAATTATTCCCCTCACCTTCAACCTCTTTCCCACAGACGAAACGTCGCCAGCCTCTCGCTGCTCTATAGCTAACTGGGACCCATGTATCGTACACAAGAGAAAAACATACATATTCCCTTAGTATTCCTATAGAAAGAAGCAAATTCCATTCGGACAGCTTCTTCCCAATAACAAAATACAAAGAATCTGCAAATTATAACTGGCCTAAATCTTCCAACTTAAAATTTTGAAACGGGTTAACTTTGATATCATTGACCAATCCAAGTTTGATATCCAAGTTTGATGTTAAAATGATTAAATAGTCCATCAATAGCACTTGAAATGGACGATAATGGTTATGTCCCCATTCACATAAATACAGTAGTAAATACTGTATGTTGGTCTGCAGTTGGAGATTTGTCTCCAGCTGTGCTGGTCAAATTCTCTGCCTCCGGGCAGAGAAGATCCCAAGATGAATCTATGTCGAAGGGCAGATTCTCGTCTCGGGAAACGGCTACCCGTACGGGGTCTACGGGGAATTTTTATCCGAGCTTACGGGATGGGACACTCCACATTAAATTTGGCCTTATGCCACATCAAACCGCGTGGCGTGGGGTGTTTGGTAGATTTTCTGCAGTTGGAGATTCATTGTGAAATTTACTTGACTCACTTCTAGCAATTGACTACTTCTACGCGCTGCTGGCGAATCTTATATGTCTTGTTCTTGTCCTAAGTATTATCGTTCATTACCAACCTTCGTGTCATTATTTTATTCAGTAACCTTACCTAGGTTACAACACCTATAAAGATTCCTTTAATTTACAAACAATAGTTACATCTTTTTCAATTGTTTATATAAAACCTTTTGGTTGTACATTATATATTTAACAAGTGATCACAATCGAAGTTGGCTGTTTTAAAGTTCGTCAGAAGATGAATTAAATAATTCGGTGCTGTTAGATGCATTAGTATTCTTATTGACGTAATTCTCTTGGGGAAAATATCACTTGATAGTCTATAGTTTAAAGTTGGGGATATTATTTCGCTATAAATCTAACTTTGAAGTGTTTTTTAATTATTGGTTCATAATTTCATCGCATAAATCCATCTATCTCCAATAATTTTCCTGTCTTGGTGAAAATATGAATAAACTCATAAGTGTTCCTTTTCTTTCATCTGCCCCGTTCTGGTTATGACGATAAATTACTTCCACGTCCTGGGTCAAACGATAAGCTACTTTCAACAGCAAGGCCTCTGGACGGGAGGTTTTGAGGAGCGTGGAACCATCTGTTAATTGCTGGTGTCTCCAGGTCAACACTGACCCGGGTTGGTAGCACCTATTAGGGTCCCAACTATGGGCAAATAGTTAACCCACTATGAAAGTGTAAAAATAGGTTTTAATACCAGCAATAATTTTTTGGAGGAAAATTTTTTACCAACAATAAATTTTTGTAAATAGTTATTACCAGCAATACATTATTACCAACAATACATTTTTGTAAATAATTATTACCAGCAATACATTATAACGAACAAGACATTTTTGTAAATAATTATTACCAGCAATACATTATTACCAACAATACATTTTGTAAATAGTTATTACCAGCAATACATTATAACGAACAAGACATTTTTGTAAATAATTATTACCAGCAATACATTATTACCAACAATACATTTTTGTAAATAGTTATTACCAGCAATACATTATAACG